TTTGATCAACTCGAAACTCTGCTGTTGATTCGGCCCCCACGAGAAGGTAGAAGACCTCAAACAATTTGTGATGGGTGCAGTGATTTCTCTGAAGCCTCTGATAAAACGCCTGTAATAGTTGGCTAAGCCATGGAAGCTCCGCACTTCTGTTATAGATTTGGGCGTTGGCCAATCCCAGATGGCGGCAATTTTCTGGGGCGATGTTCGGATGCCGTCGGAGGACAAAATGAACCCCAGGAAGTGAATTTCTGCTGCGGCAAAAGCACACTTATCTAAGTTGATGAGTAATTGGTGTTCACGAAGTGTTTCAAAAATAGACTGCAGTTGGGCTAAGTGTTCTTCAAAAGATGAGCTGAAAACAAGTATATCGTCAAAATATACAACACAACACTTATCTAAATAAGGCTTGAGGACGTCGTGTATTAGCCGCATGAATGTGGAGGGGGCGTTGCAGAGCCCAAATGGCATAACTCGCCATTCAAATAAGCTGTCGACCGTCTTAAAAGCAGTCTTCCATTCGTCACCGGGACGAATGCGGATCTGGTGATAACCACTCCGGAGATCTAGCTTGGAGAAAACTGTGGCTCCCGCGAGTTTGTCCAGGAGATCATTAATCCGGGGAATGGGGAATCTGTACTTGACCGTGATACGATTGATTGCGCGGCTGTCAATGCAGAGTCGACACTGTCCGTCCTTCTTTGGGACGATGAGTGCCGGAACGACACAAGGACTAAGGCTTGGTTGAATGAACTGTTTTTGCAGCAACTCGTGAACGATCTGGCTCAAGATCATATGTTCTTTAGGACTCATCCTATAGTGAGGAAGATTCGGTAACACCGCTCCTAGGACAAATTCTATTTGATGTTGTAGTGTTGGGAGGGGAGGTAGGGAAGGCTGCAGCTCCAGAGCAGTTATATCATTAAACTCCTATAATATAGCTTTGACGGCAGGATGTATTATAGGTTCTTCTCCCATGGGATGGTCTTTAACCACAAATGCCAATAAAGAATGTTGTCCCTCCTGACTCTTCATAAGAGATGGACCCGACACAACTTTAGCCGAAATGAGGCTGTAAGTGGGCGACGGTGAAGGGGCCACGGGGGTAGCAGACAATAATTTAAGCCATTTTCCTTTCCACTCAATGTTATACGTGTTAGCTCAGCCATCGTGTATCGCCCCGTTGTCGAATTGCCAAGGTCTTCCCAAAATGAGATGGCAGACGTCCATGTCTATGACGTCGCAGGTGACATGGCATAAGTAATTTTTTCCAATTGAAAAAGTCACATTGCATAAGTCAGTCACAGTAAATTCCAAGCCTTTCTTAATCCACCCAATTTTATAAGGATTAGAATTTTTAGTGATTTTCAGTTGGAGTGCCTGTACCGCCTTTCGAGAAATAATATTTTCTGTACACCCGCTGTCTATCACGACATCACAAACCTTTCCGTTGATGGTGCACTTCGAACGAAATAGGTTATGTCTCTGATTACTAATTGAAGTCCTCGGGGCGATAAGTAACTTCTCCACCACACAGAGCACGGGCTCCCCACTATCTCCTTCCACTTCTTCACAAGCTTCAACAACCTCCAACTCGTGTTCCTCCAATTCCCCCTCGTCTTCCCCTTCGATGAACTGAGCTTGATGCTGAGAGGGGCATTCATGAGATTTATGCCCCGGTTGTAAACATCTAAAACATTTAATGGTGGATGGTTTGGCATAAGGATTTTCTCGGCTCCCAGTACCTCGCATTCGCAAAGGTAGCTTGTCTTCTACAGCCAATTTTCCCTTTGTGGTCTTCACTTGATTCGAACTAGCAACGAGATCCTTTGCTTGACTACCTCCTGTTTTAACGTTTCCCGGATTAGCCTCCCCAAAAGCCAGGCGAACAGCAATTGATTTGTATGATCTCTGCAATTGGACCTCAGCCTTTAGCGCAAAGTTTACTGCCTGGGAAAGTGTCCACACCGAATTGAGCTCCAATTTGTCTCGAATTCCTTCCTTCAAACCACCGGTGTAGCGGGTGACGAGCTGATTTTTAGATTCCAACAGATTATTACGGGCGCTGAGCCTATAAAACTCCTCCGTATACTCGTTGACCAAGCGGTTTCTCTACTTACAATGTTGATATTTAATGTACAAAAGCTGCTCAAAATCTGTAGGTAGAAAATGTTGCCTCATCAACTGCTTCATACGGCTCCAACTCCGCACAGCTCCTCTACCTTCGCGTCGTCGGCTTTGGAGTATCTGCATACACCAGGCGCTCGCTCCCCCTTTTAAACGGCAGGCGACGTACTTTACTTGTTTGGCCGGCGGAATCTCCATGTACTCAAAAAAAATTTCGACCGCCGCTTCCCAATCTAGATAGTCTTCGATATGGAGTCTTCCTTCAAAAAAAGGAATATCAAGTTTAATGCGCATACCTTCGTGTTCAGCTCTCATCGGACGCGGTCTTCTCATCCTCTCGGCTCTCGAAAGTGTGAAATCCTCCTCCGCATCCGATTGTTCTCGTTCTGAGATGATTTCGAACTCAGAATTAGTAATTTCCGGGCATATGTGAGGACCCCTTCTCGGAATGGTATCTCCCCGCAACGGCCTTCGGGGAGTCGGTATGGTTGCCGGAACTGTCGGGTGAGCTACTGGATTGGTAGCCGCCCTTACTTGCCGCATTTCATCGTGCATTTCATCCGCGAATCGTGCAAAGTTATTGATGAGCTCCTCCAATTGCTTGGACGTTTGCCTTTGCGTTTCCCACAATGCCTCCAAGCTCTGATCGCCGTCGGTCCTGGGTCGGCTGCTCTCCGCCATTGACGCCGGCACTAGCTATGATACCAGATTTGATGCAGCGGCAGCAATAGACGAGGAATGAACCGAAGGGAAAATGGAGCAATGGAACAGTAGAATTCCTTGCAGCCGAAAGTTGTATTACTGAAATATGGAATAGCTGAGTTTTTTTATCCCTGTTTCTACAGTTCATATAAGCTAAAAACAAGAGAACCGAAATTAGCAAAACATCTGAAAAGTGAACTAGTCCTATGCATAACAGAAAAAAAGGAAAATTCAGATAATAAGGGGTAGTGGATGTCCTATTAGCTTCAATGTCCCGCCAGAGTAACATAGCATATTTGATGTCCGCATCAAAAGGCCTCCATTTTATGTGATCAAATCATCCAAGAGGACTCTTTCTATTCTTATCTTCCACTAGAGCTACTCCAACCTTTTCATACTTCATATATATGCTCATTTGTTATTTTGTCTCTAAGGGTAAAACCACTCATCCAACTCAGCATCCTCATCTCTACAACACTTAACTTAATATTATATTTCTCTTTTAATGACCAACATTCTGTACCATAAATTAGTGCAGGTCTAACCATCATATTATAAAATTTTCCCTTAAGTTTATAATATAAAACGACCAATTTATACTAGCCAGTTTGTAATATATATAATTTTTGAAACTTATTTTCCATAGTTATACCGAAGTTTTGATTTTGGTTTTAAGAAAATAACTTTTTCAATAAAAAAATTTAAAAATTGGTTACAATTAAAAAAAAATTGTTGTTTGTTTGAAAAATAAAACACCTAGAAAATTGTCCGAAATATGCCTTTAAACTTATCTCATTATAAGACTTCTGTGTTTTTTTTTTTTCATTATAAGACTTCTTGAACTAAGATCAAGCAGTTATATATTTCATAGAAAGTGATTTCTATAGAAAATTATGTGAGAATAAATTGATAATCATAAGATATATGAAATTAACTTTTATAGAACTAATGGAAGATATCACATCTATTTTAACAAATATCACTACTAAAAAAATGTGATTTGTATCGATTATAAACGATGCTAAATATAGCACTTCGCCAAATCTATTCCGTCGATTTTTAAACCGTTGCAGAATATCGTTGCACCGCATTGCAATTACAGCGGTTAAAACCGTTGCAGAATATCGTTGCACCGCATTGCAATTACAGCGGTTAAAACCGTTAGTATATGTCGAAACTTGTGCTGTGATAATCCTATTTTTTAATAGTGCATGATCCAATAAAGAACTTAAAGTAAAGAACCATCGAAGTAAACACTTAACTTAAAGTGGTTATTAGTGATGAATCTACTCTTGTGATGATGATAAATTAATCAAACTTGTAAGATTTATTTTAAGGAAAATTAACAATAAATGAGTTTGTAAGATATTAATATAATAAATAATTTTAATTTATTAAAACATAAATGATAAGTCATATAATATAAAATATGATAAATAGAAATGACAAATTTGTTAGTTTAACTCGTAAATATTATCATTTATGAAAATAAAATAATATATATATTAACATTCATTAATTTTCATTTATTTTTTGTGTTTTTTTTTTTTTGCTATTATGTTTTCTTTTTTGTAGTAAAATTTATCACCTACTATTTATTCTTTATTTTTTAGTTGTTTTTTCCTATATACCTTACTCCTACAACGAATAATATATTGTATTGCATGGCCAACACTCTCATGCAGTAGTTGCTTATTTTCTTATTAAGTATGTTGTTTCTGACCTTATATCTAATTTATTGGAACACAAATAAAAATATTATGGCCCTCTTTCATTAACAATTTTGCAATGGCATAATTTTGGATGATGTTGTTCGTTTCACAATTGACATTTCTTTTAACTTGTGATTGCAACAAAGTCTTCGTTTGAGAAAACTTTTTAATTTTTTCAAAGCAATTTTTTAGTATAAAAATTTCAAATTTAAGAATTTTTTTCAGTAAAAAAATCTTTAAAAACCTGTAATAAAATTGTTCCAAACAAAGCCTAAATTATATCGGTATTTAATTTCTGGATTCCACAATGTAATTTTTGGTGTCACACCTGGTTATTATTTATATAAAAGTTTTGAAGAGAGATGATCCTTATTTTTATTATATACTAGAAAATTTATGGTAATAGAAGATGTGTTTAATATCTATGTTGAACATAAATAAGAATATATAGAAAGAGACACATAATAAATAATGCAAGCACATTTTATTATTCCTTGAAAGAGCTTACAAATAAATTCTTACACAATAATCATTTTAAACCAACAACAGAAGAAAGCAGAAGCAGAAGAAATCCAATCGTGAAGGATGAGCCCACACAAATTAAGAAAAGCATACAAACAGTAAGTACCATGGAACTATATGTAGCGCACTCACAATTATACAAAGAAACATGCTCACTCTCACTGTGATACAAACGACATCATGATAACTTAATAATCCTTAATAAAGCTCCACAATAACATCTGAATTAATTAGAGATATGTTTGTAAACATAGGGTTCTTTCCTATATCGAAGATGATGCCCATCACCATAGACATATACTTGTGAAATGTGTTGAATTAAGTCCCAATAAATACCTCCTTTTAGGCATTTTTGAACAACCTCTTGACTGCACCTCAAGTCAAGGTGGAAGTCATCATTAGAATCATTTTGCAACCCTCGTTGTTGAAGAAGTTTCAATAGCCACTCTGGAAGGCTCTTCAATGCAAAATTAGTGAAAGACAATTCCTGCAATGAATCAAGTTTTTCCACGCAAGACAAAGCTTCCCATCTTTCAACATTTCTTTCATCAACATAGAGCTTCTTTAATGTAGGAGTGCAACATATCTTTTTTAAATTTTCACAATTAATTAAGCGTAGTTCCTCAATTTCAGCAGGAAGACTGTCATCTAATTTTAGGCTTCGAGCACCACTTATCCTGAGAAACTTTATAGTAGAGTACTTTAGACTTTTTGGTAGTTGTTTTAGCAATGGGCAATAATTGATTGTTAGCTCCTGTAAACATGGTAGCAACTTGAGTTTTGGAGATGCATTTTGCTCAACTTGTGCGTCAAAAGACCATTCTTCTAACTCAGGAAAATTGGAGATTAGAAGCTTTTCAAGACGAGGGAAAGAAAATCCAGTCAAATTGATGTCACTACCAAAAAATTCTGGTCCAATTTTCTTTACTTTAGTCACATAGAACATACGAAGATCTTTAAGTTCTGGCAACTGACCTAATGGAGGGAGCTGAGCACATGAGTTTATGCGATTGAACACCAATTTAGTTAAATTTGGAACACAAATTTCAAAAGGAGACGAGACCATCCAATTGGGGAAACGGCGACCGAAGAAGCTTGATATTGTGAAATCTTCTAAACTTTGTGGAGGTATTATCTTGTCAAATAGCTCCTCTACAGCTAGTTCTTGTTCCTTACTGGGACTTGAGTTGTCCATGGAGAACTCCAACTTCAAAGTAAAAAGGTTAGGTAATTCTTTAAGAATTATGGTTTCACTTTGAGGTCTCTTCAAGTTGTCAATTTTGAGCATTCTTATCTGTTTCAAAGAATTCAACTTTTCCAATTTGCTACTAGAGTCATTGTTGGCCACCACAAAGCCACTCAGATAATTAAGCTGTTGCAAATTCTCTATTCCTTTTGGTATGAAACTAACAGGAGTTGCATCAATATCAAGGCATCTTAGATTGTGTAACGCAGTGATTCCACTAGGAAGTTGCCTCAATTTTCTGCAAGAGCTTATTTTCATAAATTGTAAGTTTGTTAATTGCCCTATGGATTCCGGTATTGCTCTTATATGTGTATCGTTCAAATTAAGATACCTCAAATGCAGTAGCTTTCCTATATAGTCAGGAAGTATTTGAATCTGTGTATTAGAAATGTCCAGGACACGTAGATGTGAAAGCTGCCTCAATCTTTCATCATCCAACAATAGATCAGAATATGAAGCAAGCAATGTTCTCAGTGCTCCCTGATCTACAACATAATTGAGTATTTCAATTGATGTTTCTTGTCTTGCAACTGATAAACGACGAAGCTTGATGGATGTGGTGGAGTTCCTCACATTTAAAGCTCCAAATGAAGTTTCTTCTTTAGATAAAAAAATGGCTAGAGATCTGATAACATCATGCATCTGGCACTTACCATAATCATTTTTTGGTAGCAAAAGATTTCGATTTAGTAACTCATTGAAGCATTCTTCTGCTAAATATTCGGTTAATGAATCTTGTTGCTTTGTTATGAATCCTTCAGCTACCCAAAGCTGAGCAAGCTCATGCAGATCTAACCTTTCATCCTCAGGATATAAAGAGAAGTATAGAAAACATTGCTTTAGATGTGAAGGTAGATCTTCAAAACTAAGGTATAGAGCACCGCTAAGCTCCTTAGGAAGGTTGTAAATAGACCATGCATTATCATTGAGAAAAATTTTCCAGGCTTTCTTAGTGCGTGGTTTACTTGAAAGAACACCAGCAATGGCTTTGATTGCAAGAGGAAGGCCTTTACATCTTTTTACTATCTCAAATCCTAGCTCCTTCAAACTATTCTCTAGCTCCTCTTGTTCCTCTGAGAAAAGCCTCCTACGTAGCATATCCCAGCTACTATCTTGAGAAAGATGTGCCACAGGGTGAATGTACGCTGCCTTAATATCCATAGCAACATTTTCATATCTAGATGTAACTAAGACTTTGACGCTACTATTCGAGTTGTACAATGGGACCCTAAGCAAATCAACCCACACATCCGCAAGCCACACATCATCCAAAACAAGAAAAAGGCTCTGGCCTAAAGCAACAGAATTACTAAGAATGGTTTGTAGCTCTGATTTAGTATTAGCATCTCCATAGCTCCCCTTTACCCCTCTTATTACTTGCTTCAACAACTCAATTTCTGAGTAAGTCTGCGAAACACAAACCCATACAGGATCTAAATTGAAAAAGGCCTTAATTTTGGGATGGTTAAAAATCTTTTGAGCCAGAGTCGTCTTCCCTATCCCACCCATGCCAGTAATTGCAAAAAGAAGACATTTTTCATCACCCTTCTCTCCAAGCAAACGTTCAACCAAACTATTTGCTGCAACATCGACCTCTCTTCCGACAGCAAAAGGATCAACCATGGAAGAAGTTTGACGAGAATCAACTACAGTAATTTCTGGGGTTTCTATTATTGTGGATTTCTCTAGTTTAAAATGTTTTCTACTTTCATATATCTTGTTGAGTCTATTATTAATTTCCTCAATTCTATTTCCGATCTCATGACGCAAAGGAACACTAGTGAAACAAGAGAAGGCAGATGAGAAATCGCAACGTACTGAAGAAGTTTTAGGTTCAGGATTTTGATCAGCGAGCAGTTGGGCGCCCTCAATTCTGCAGAGGTCAATGATATCCTCAGCATCGTACATCACATCCTTAAGCTCAGAAAGCCAGAGTTCGGTGGATGACTCTCCAAACTTTTTCTTTTCAGCATCTTTTAGTAGGCATTGGATGCTTCTCATCCGACGACGTAGCTCTTGAAGCTCCTCCTTCACACCTAGCACTTTGATCACCTCTTCATAGACAAAATCAGCAAGCAAAGTGGAGAATTTACTCATAAAAGCATCCAAGATCATCGCCATGTTGAGCTTGCTGAAGGAGATTGCTGAAGAAGGAGAATAGCTTAGCTTAGCTTAGCTTGCTGGATGCTTAAGGAGGCTGGTAAATTTAAAGGAAGATAGATGGAGACGGGCAAGGAAACGAACAAGCAACAACTCTCGACCACACGTTTTGAACAGATTATTGTAAGTGTATGTTTATAGTGGTTACATAAATTGGATATATACCATATATAAATATGTAGACAGTAGACATAATCTGGATGCTGCTTCCCATCCAGAATTTCTCCTATCCAGAACTATTTTTTTTCTTTTACTGACTGACCCCTAAAAAAAATCTTAGGGGAGATATACGGAGAAATTCTAATCTACATCAATCACTTCTTTGAGAGAATATATATATTACTACAAGTTAAGAAGGTATTGAGTGAGTCTGTAACAAATCATGAAAGCTGGCCAAAGTAGGCGTCTAAATCAAGATTTTATGATTTTTTAAATATATAAAATAATATTTAATTGATATTTAAAAATAGGTATTTAAATTATATTTAAGAAATCTAAAAAATATAAATAAGATTTAAATAGTATATGCTGATTTAATAACATTTAAATATTATATTCCGATTATAGTTAGACAAATTTAAACATTTTAAGACTAATTTAATTATAAATTTAGCAAATATGTAATTCAAATTTTTACTCTATAAAAATAATCAAAAATAAAAGTTTTAAATGCTGTGAGTATAAAAAACAAATTTTCAATATAAAAATTTAAAATCTATTATAAAATAAAATTAAGCCGTTTTTTAAGAAAAATATATATTTAAAATCTTGAAAAATTTATATCAAAATGAGCATAAATTTTAACCTTTTGTCTTTTAAATTAGTTTCTAGATTAAATTTTTTTACTTTATTAATTTAAATATACTCAATGATTTTTTAAAATATCATTATTTTTTAAAAACTTTGCTATTCTATGTTTTTTTTCATTATTTTTTAGGACAAAATTTATGTTATAATATTTTGATAAACTTTAATAATGAAAATTTTAAAATTTATTCAGTTCATTTAAGATTAATAAAATAAAAAATTTTATGATAGAAAATTAATTTCAAGTAAATTGTAGTAAAATTAATGTTCATTTTGATATAAATTTTTCATAATTACAGATATTTTTTAATTTATTACAAAATTATTAATTTTTTTAACTCAAATTAAAATATACATTTTAATATTACTAATTCAAAACATATAAGAA